AGAGTTCTGTGACTGTGGGAGATGGGTTTCATGTACTTTGGGAAGGCCACACTATGAGTTCAATGTATGTAAATTTAGGCTAGTACTAGGTTTTCTGACTTGACCCCAGTCACGTCACAGCAGCAGCTTACAACTAGCCCAAACTTTCCTAAGTTTTTTAGAACTCTGCCTTGATGGTTACCAGCATCCAAACTGGTGAAACTTAAGCTGGTACAACATATGAAACAGTTTATCCCATTTTGGTTTCTTGCATTGGGCATCTTCCTTTGGCTGGCAGCATGGTGTCCGTAGCATGGGTGGGTGGCTGTCTCCTGTCAGACATTTCACAAGGTGTTTAAGAACATCTGGTAAACTTCCAGCCCTTCCAGTCACCAAAACCCTGGGGAGATGGATGCAAAATTGTGGCTGTCCTGCAAGTAATTTACTCCTGCCAGGGCTACTCAGTGGATCCAGCCACACTTACCTTTCATCACGACTCCTGTTGGAAAGCAGTCTCTGCTGCAGAGCAGCTGATAGTTCAACCCCCACTGCTGCTGGTCTGTCTGGGATCGGGTCGGAAGGGGAAACGGGGATAGACCCTGTCTGCTTTGTTGTGAAGTGCAGTTACTGCTTCAGTGCTTTTCTGAAAGCGGGGGGAAGGGGAGGCTGCATCAGTCAGGACAAGCAAAGGGAACTTTCCTCCTTGCAGGAGAAGCAAGAAGCAAGCAAACAAGACCCCAGCACCTCAAAGGCCGAGAGCAGTTTGTGCAGGCAGGAGACCGTCTGGGTGGAGAAGCTAGGATGAGGCTGAGGGCTCTGACACTTACGTGGTTGCACATCACGTGAGTCCCGTTTTCCTCCTAGGAGTCATATGGAGGGTCAAGATTCTTCTGAGTCTGCCTCTAGCAGGATCCAAAGGCCATCTGCTTCTTGACGACTGCCTTAAAGTGTGTTTTGTTTTGCCTTTGTAAGGCTGTTGCTGTGTGGCAGATGTGTGCATCTGTCAGATGCTGCATAAGGATGCTCTGGTGCCATAGTGGTAACCATGGTCTGAGACGCGGTTTAGAGCCTCGTCTGAATCAGAACAGTAGGCAGAAGAGTTGTGGCATTTCCTGGGTTTATGTTAGGGAAATACTGTGGGGTTTCTTTTCCTGAACCTTGTGGCTTGTTGATTGGTTGGTTAGTGTTAGGGTTTTCCTTTCACAAATTACTGCATTTAAAATGTTGGTTTTAAACCAAGAGGTAAGAGATTTAAAAAAATATAAATCCCAAATTCTGTAGTTTAAGGGAAAATTAATTAGGCTTACACAGAAAACTGTTCCCTTTCCCCCAGGCTGGTGCAGAGCTGCTTTTCTGGTGGACACTAGGCCTGCTTTGTGCCATGCCACAGACTGGTCTGCTGCAGGGGCACAGGCATAGGCAAGCTGTAGAGTTTTTTCTCTATGTCCTGCTGAGCGGTGAGATCACCAGAAAGCCATATAGGCAGAGCAGGTACTAACATCGCTCTTGATTGCTGTAGGGACCTGGGCAGAGTGTGCAAGACTTGGCACAGGGCAGCACCTATATTAGCATGCTAACAGACTGGATGCCAGGACAGCTCCTGAACCCACCAGCTCGAGTCTGGCTCATGCTGCTGTCTGAGGACACGTCTGGCTATATTCCTGGTTACAAGGCGACGTGGAAACTTTCAATGCCTTGTTGCCAACTTGCTTTAGAAAGGTGGAGACTGCAACTTTGCTGATTTTTGCAGTATTTGCAGCGTCATTGGGATGTAGGAACATTGCTGCTGCTCATATTGGGTGATATAAGTCTTTTCTGGGCGTGCCCCACCTGCTAATTTGAAACCTTAACAAGTTTACAGGAAAGACAACCCCCTAGACTCCACTTAGCTGTTCATGAGTGCAGGGGCAGAGATGGACTTGAAGGGGCTAATTTCTGCCTCTGCCAAATATGAACGGGTAGATCTTTTTCTCTCCTAACTCCCCTTCCTGTCTATATTCTAACTCTGGCCTCTGTGCAAATCAGGGATGTTCGTTGCCTTCCAAATACATATTGTCACCCAAAGTAATTATTAGCCAAATGGAATTAAAATGCAGTCCAGTTTTATGGAGTAACAGAGTGCTGAAGAGGTGAAGTGAGCAGACTTTGTGGGGAGCACACGCTCAGAAACACAGACTGCTGTGCGTGTTCCTGGAGAATGGGCTGCCAGAGTCAAAAGAGAGTTAGGAGTGGGGATCAGAGCCCAGGCAAGGGAAAAATTGGTTCTCTGCCCAAGGACAGGCAGTGTGTCTTCTGAGAAAGCGAGGCACACAGAGAGAGGTCAGAGCTTGCTGGAGGTAAAGAAAGTCCTTTTGACTTAGACTGGGTCAGCTCCAGTGTAGCTCTGCTCACTCCTGATCTTGGTAGCTGTTTAAAATGGGGTGGCTGCACAGCATAGTTTCTGCTCAGAGTGGAGTGAGCCTAGCAGAGGGCCAACAAGATGATTAGGAACGAGAAACATATGACATGAGCAGAGGCTGAGGGAGAGAGGTTTGTTCTGCCTTCAAAAGAAAAGGGTTGCCGTGGGATCTTATTTCTTCCTTGAACTTCCCAATGAAAGGATGATGCCAGACTCTTCTCCGAGATGCACAGTGAAGGATGAGATGTGATGGACACAGGCTGCATGAAAGGACAATTAGATAGAGGGATTAGATATAAAGAAAACCTTTTTCACCATGAAGAGCCTCAAAACACTAAGACAGGATCCCAAAAAAGTTGTAGGATCTCCATCCTTAGAAATACTCAAAACAGCTGGACAGGGCCTGGAGCAGCCAGCTCTGAGTTGATCTTGCTTTGAGGAGTGGTTGTAGCAGAGACCTCCAGAGATTCATTCCTTACACCTTTGTTATTCTACAATTTTAAGACACAGGCTAAGCCTCTCCACTCCTCATGTTCTGATGTCTTCCCACAGTTCCTCTCCATTAGTATAGTGGAGCAGAAAAGTTCTTCTCCAGCCTTTGGGGAATAGTCCTAGAACAGCTGAGTGTGCTATAGTAGAAAAGACACATGATGACTGTCAAGAGAGGACACAAGCTTCTCTAGTGAAGGGTTTGATCTGGGAACCTGCTTGCAGCTAGTTACTGACCACATTAACTCAACAGCAAAGAGAATCTCAGACTGATGACCTAGGACTGTCTTCCTTAACAGCTTCAGGTGATGGTAGTGATGAAGGTAAGAAAATATGTGTTAAAATGACTTTTGACCGAGGAGACATTTCAACTAAGTTTCCTTTAGTTGGCTTTGTAGGCAACTTCTCTCCTTCATATTTTTTGGAATATTTATGCTCTTTGGATTTTCTCCACGGTGCATTTACAGTGCCAAAACCACCACAGCCTCAGGCTGCTTTAAGGAATGCATTCTGGCAATTTTGGAGTACTGCACGCAACAAGATAAGCAGTCCAAATGACCCAAAGGTAGGTAGAAGCCAAGCAATCACTGCTGTGCTCAGAGTGCAGTGTCCATGCAGGGAAATAGAAAATACATGGGGAAGATGAAAGACAGAGAGGGAGTCCATTTGCTAAACACGGCAAGGAATTCATACAGCCAGAGGTGGAAGCACGTGGACCTGAGAAAGGTACCTACAGCACAACCCAATGGCAGCAGGGGGAGACCAGAGCAGAAGAAGAACCATTATTTGTATTACAGCAATGCCATGCTGTCCAGCTCTGTGTTACACCTTATTGCTTAGTACAGTCTCCTCTCAGAAAAATTTCTGATGTCTTGCAAGGGAAAAGCTATTGAGGGCTTTCCCCACCCAGAGACAGAAAGATCTGTTTCCATAGCCAGGTAGATGTTGGCAGCTCTGTAGCCCATGTACTTAAATGGGTGCTTGTTTAGTTGTGTAGCCTAAATATCCTCTGACAGGGTCAAATACTGCTTGAGAACACAGATGTTTGGAGCCCTTCTGTTCGTGATTAGGACTTTTCAAGGGTAACATGACACAGTATTGATTGCCTGAGTTTATGGAGAGGCTCTCATTTTCCAGCCCTCTTAACAGAAGGTTGACGTAAATAGTTTTGTTAAAATCCATTTTGTGGAGTGGTGCTGCTGTGGTTTTCATTTACAACCATTTGTTAATTAGGCCCCACTTCAATGGGCATTTCCTATTTTTCCTGTTCTTTTTGCCCTTCCTTCTTGTTTGGCCAAGGGTGTGCCTGTGTGTGTGAGCTGCTGGTTTTCCGTCAGCATTATTTGCAATCATTTCACAGCCTGCTCCTGGTGCTTACAGGCAATTTCTTAGCCACGGACTGCTGCTTGAGGAACACTGCCTCCACCAACTGTCCTGTCCTCCCATTGCTTTTCATGTTTGGACGCCTCAGTGTCTGATAAAAATACTTTTTATGTCAGCTTTCATGCCTTGCTGATCATTTCAGTGAAAGCAGAAGCCTTCAGAAGACAGAACTGGGAGTTGCTGAAGAGACTTGGGTGCAGAAGGGAGGGACAAATAGCACAGAAGAACACAGGAGCACTACCAGAGTTGCTGCCCCAGGGACAAAGGTGGATGGTATTGGAAAGTTATCAGGAAACTTATCTGGCCCAGAGAGGCCCCTTGATCTTACTGGGCCCTGGGCATAAAAGAGAATTGCTGAATGGTTCCAGTAACGATGGACTGAATATGTAAATTCATAAATGCCAAACTAAATATATAAATACTGAAGAAGATTGGGAAATGTTAAAAAATCCCAAGGAACTGCTTGCAAACAGCTCTTCAAGGTCCATGTTAAACACTGCCTACAAAGGAACATCTTTGGCACATTTTTTTGCCTTCATTGATAAATACCTGTGAATCTCACCTTTCTAAGGTTTGTACAGATTGGGTGATCACTTCCTAGGTGTGTATTTTGGAAGCACAATGGACCAGGTGCTTTCCACTGATGCTTCCCACTGCTGTTGTTCCTAATGTCTTGTGTGTCGATGCTATGTCTGAATACTAACCCTTTGCTTTTGTCACATCTCTCTTCTTGCAGGCGTATATGTTGAAGTCCTTTGAAATGAATGGTCTGCCCAAGGCGGTGCCTTTAAGTTTGCCTTACCAAGACTTCAGAAAAGATGTGTCAGACTACTGGGAAAAGCCTAAGGTGTCCCAGCGGATAAAGAGAGTGGATTTCTCAAATATTGTCTTGACTGCTCCTTGCAAACCTCTGGAACCTTATCTGGAAATTAATGGAAAGGAGGAGGAAGAAGAAGACGACGAGGAAGAAGATGAGGAAGAGGAGGAGGCAGAAGAGGAAGGGGATGAGATTGATATGCACAGTGGTTCCAGCAGTGACCTAAGTCAAAAAAGCACAGAGCACAGCCAGGAGTGCGCACCATCCACGCTCCTGGCTGACGACCAGAAGGGATCCAAAGGTCGAGCGTCCACTGCTGATGGGGACCTGGAGCTGGAGGAAGGCTCAAAAACACTAGTACTGTTTTCACCAGGTGATCTGAAAAAATCTCCGGTGACCACAGATTTGGCTCCAGAAGTTGATCTGGGCACCCTTGCTGCACTGACACCTCAGAGCGAGCGGCCACAGCCTATGGGCAGCCAACTGGATGTATCCGAGCCAGGAACCCTGTCCTCAGTCCTTAAATCTGAACCAAAGCCTCCCATGGCAGTGGCTACAGCTTCCTCCCCCTTTACCAAAGTTGAGCGCACGTTTGTTCACATTGCTGAAAAGACCCACTTAAATGTCATGTCTTCCAGCGGCCAGCTGATGAGGCATGAAGAATACTGTCCCCCAGGCCAGTTTGAGGAGGTCATCATCAAAGAAGAGCTGGAGGACAACCTGGTGCTGGTAGAGAACGGGAGCATACACTCGGGGCTAGAAGGGGCAGAGACGGAGAGCTGCGCACTTTCGGCTAATCCCATTGAAACCACCCCAGAGACAGTGGGGGAGCAGCTGCCCCTTCCCAACGGCACAGGAAAGCCACCCGAGGACAAGCCGGAGCTTTCCGACCAAGTGGCCTTCTCACTGGATTTGGAAGAGCCTGGCAAGGTGGTTACAAGAGAGCCTGGCCTCGAGAAATTGGCATCAGTAGCGGCTCACCTTAAGCGAGCAGAGACCCTCAGCACGCCCCAGCAGGGCCCCAGGAGACCGCTGGGCCCCAGGTATAGAAGCCGGATACCCATTTTGTTCTCTGAGGAGGACACCGGCTCAGATCTTTCCACTTCACTCTCAACCAAAGAGAGGCTTTATAAGAGGGCAAAGCAACCTGACTTGGCTCGCCTGGTAATGGAGAAGAGGCAAAATCGCCTCCTTCGGCTGGCTTCGGGGGCCTCCTCCTCGGCCTCCTCCAGCGACGAGAGGCGACGGGCCTCAGAAACCCTGTCGGCCACCGGTTCCGAGGAAGACACCCACGACTCTGATGACTCCATCCCAAGGAAGGCGGGGAAGGAGAAGGCTGCCCTCCTGGGGAAAGAAGAGAGACCCATAAGCACAAAAAGCAGAATTCCTCGGCCCATCACACCGGTAAAAACACTGCTAGAGGTGGCGAAGTCTGAGAGCTCCGTGGCTGTCACTATGGCGGTGCTGTGGAGCTCCCCACAGGATGCGGCTGCTGCCTACAGGTAAGACCAAAACGGTGAGGAATGCAAAATGTTGGGCTTGTTAAGGAGGCACGGCCAGGGCTTTGCTCACCTCCAAAGCTTCACCCTTCAGCTGGCTTGAACGCACTGTTTCCTGCAGTTGTTTCAGCTCACTGGTGTGTGAAATCCCAATCTCTCTTGTCTTCTTTGGCTCAGTGTGGGCAAAGGGCCAAGCTCCTCTTGACTTGCCCTGGCTTTGAGGCCTTCCTCCCTTCTCTTTGATTTCCCTATAATCTTGCTAATCGCAGATTCCTTCAGCATTGAGCTCTCAGTTTTTGCAGCATGCCCAGCATACCTGTGACTCTGCAGGGAGACCTGGCCTGGCTATCACGATTAGAGCTGCGAGGGCTGTGAGGTTGCCAGTTGTGATTGCCTCAGAAGATGACCATCATGCAAAGAGCTGGAGAGAGGGAGGTGCACACGCATGGGCCTTGGCAGTGAGATGGAACAGCATGGGCCATCTCTGTGGGGTCTGAATTCCCTGCACATCCCTATGCCTTGATTTTTTTGGAGGCACCTGACTCTGTCAAGTAAGCACAGAGAATGTAAGTGGAGATGGACCTTTTGAATTCACCAGTATTTGGCTTTTCTTCCTGCCTTGGGGCTGGAAGTCCAGCCCAGGAGCAGAGCTGCTGCTGTGGCTCGGCTGCAGGTCCAGCAAACTTTGCGCTTTAAGAGATGTGGGGTGAAAGGAGGGGACCCCTGTGAATTGATTTATCTTCCAGCACAGTTACCATCAGAGGCCAACTGTTGCAATCCAGCTCATGCCCAGACTCCATCTCCCACCTTGACAGAGGTTGGTGCATTTTAAGAACAGTCTCACATATGTGCTATCAGCCAAACCATGTCTGTGCGTTGTCCCAGAGGGTGCTGGAGGACCTGAGCAAACAGGAGTTAAGAGCACTGAGAGTTGCAGGGTGGTGTTCCAACCAGTGCCGCATCTTGTTTACTGCGTAGCTCTGGTCATCCTGGTGCTGGAAACTCCTTGTAATTGCCCGGCAGCATTCATGTCAGACCTGGCAGGAGCCCAGAGCCCCTTGCAGAAATTCCTTTTTGTCCTCCCTCTTCTTTCCTCCTGCAGGCTTCAGGCACAGAGACCAGCTGGAAGTGTCCCAAATGAGTGCCGAGCAACACAAATACAAAGTCGACTTTCTCCTTCACCAAGCTCTACTTCTTTTCCTCCACGGAGCAGCTCAAGGAGGTCCAGTTGTGTATCCCCTCGGAGCCCTGTCCTTCCTTCAAGAAACCCCAGTGCTTCCCCCAGAAGCCAGCTGCCACCTCGGAGGGAAAGCCCTTCTCCCTGCCGACAGCATAAGCCAGGGACTGCTCTTCAGCGAGTTCCTCCTTCCCCCCGACCTCAGCCCCCAGCTCAGGCCCTGGGGCCAGCAGGAGATTCCCTGCCCTCTCCTGGCGTGGCCAAAAAAGGTCAAAGAGGAAAAACCCAGACTCAGAGTCCAGCAACCAAAGGAAAGCAGGTGTCCCTGGAAAGTAAGGCAGCTGCCAGATAATGATCCTCTTCTGCAGCCCGGCAGACTGGGTAACTTCTGCGTATAGTATACACTTGAGATGCTGCAGCACAGCCTTCCATGCTGGACCCACGAGCGTATAGCAGTAGCTGTACTTCAGTGCTTCACTCACTCTCACCGGACACCATCGCGATCAGCTCCCACGGGCCCGAGAGCCTCTGAGCCACGGAGCCTTCTTCAGGGGAGACGCCCGCCCGCAGCCCACGCTTGCCAATGCACAGCACCAAGCAGCGCCCCAGGCAGCCTGCCTTGCGCCCGAGCCCCCTCCCTCCCCGGCACTCCCCCCTCTGTTAGCAATGCCCGTCGCCAACACCGCCTCTGGCTTTGGAAGGAGGAGTGGAGGTGACAGAGCAAGGCCTGCTGAAGAGGAAGGCTCCTGTCCTGCAGGCAGCTCCCTCCTACCACCATCTACCAGCTGCCACCATCTACCCAAGTGGCTCACCTCCTGCCACCTCTGTTAGCAAGGGATTGTCACCAGCTTGGCCGACAGGGATGGATGTGGCCTTGTGTGCCGAGATAAGAGAGGGGGCAGGGCAGAGGGAGCTCTTCTTTCCAGAGGTGCTTCTGCAGGTGGGAATAGGAGACAGGAGGTCTTGCTGGATGCTCCTACCTGCTCCAATGTGTCCCACAGAGGAGGTCTTCTGGCATTGCTGCTCAGTGACGGTGCAGCTGTTTCAGCAGATGCCTGCATGGTGTATGGAGAGATGGAAGTGGGGGTGTATTGGCAGCTTGCTGGGAAATGAAGAACACTTGCTAGCTGATTTAGAAGGGAGCACACTGCAGCCGCTTCTGTCTCTAATACCAAACTGTGAGTTGTGGAGACCACATCTCCCAGCGTGGGTGGTTCCTTTCAAGCTGAGCGTGGTTGGTGCCACAGACCCACAGTCCGCCAAACACCGCTCCGTCCTGAAGATGTGAACCTTCACTGGATGCCTTCAGCTTGGGTGCCCCTTGCACCTAAATCCCTTGTGCTTTATTGTCACGCTCTTGGTGTTTGTGAATTTCGGCCCTGTGGTTGAAAGTTCTCCTACATGGCAGGGTGGGAAATTATTATCCTGTAGTATGCTCAAAAGCTGCTGTTTTGTGAGGAGTGGTTTGCTGGCACGCCGTGGGTACCATATACACTTCCTAGAGTACAGTGGTCTGAGTTGCAGTGGTCAGGTTTGTGTCTTTCTCTTCCTGGGTGCTCAGCTTCTCCACAGGTTGCATGAGAATTTACAACGCAAACGTAAAAGCAAGGGCTGTGCTCTTCAAGTAACATTGTCAGAGCAGAAGCTTAGTGCTCAGCTAGAGCGAAATCAACCACCTTTTTAGCCCCCAGACTAATTAGGAAGGTTTGAAAATGAAAAGTCAAGAGGACTGATACCTGTCTGAGCTTGATGAAGTCTTGAAGTCACAAAATTTTGTAGTCACAAACTATGTCACAAACTTTGTAGTCACAAAATTGTCCCAGCACCTCACAGGGAGAAACACTCCAGACCCAAATACTTCAGGCTTCACACTGCTCTCCTGACTGAAAGAGGCTTTGCATGAGGCAGAACAAAAATATGGCTGCCCTGTACAACCATCCCTGCAGCTGCACCTTAGCTGCAAATATTTACTATTTGCAGACAACAAAGGTTGGCAGAGGAATCTGGACAGTAATAACCTTGACTTATTTGAACATAGACACAGTCACACTGATGGCCGTTAAGTCTGAGGAATCCTGAAGTTGTTCACATCTACAGGAACTGTCCTGGAAAGGAGCATGAGAGCTGTGATGGGGTAGTTGGGTGAACGGTGTACTACTTGGACATCTGAACAGGGAAATGTCTAGAAATAGGTGACAGGAATTAACTCTTTATACAACAGTCTTAGTGTTGCCAGTGCTAAAAATTTATTTCATCTAGCTCAAAGTGTTTGCTGTTTGCCATTGATGTCGTTCACTCTGGTAGAGTAAGAAGCACAGCTTCTAGTCTAAAAGCATGCCCTCATCCTTGCAGAGGTGCACTGGGAACTCCACGGTCAGGTTGTGGTTTGATGGACTGAGCTGATGTTGCCACCAAAAGTGGTGGTCGCTCCAAGTTGTGGCTGTTCCGTGGCACTGTCCTACCACCTTACACTGGGGCAGCTATTTGGTGAAGTGGCTGGAAGTGCTGACCCAGCATGACACCAGGCACTCTGGCTTGCTGGTTTGGTTCTCATCTGGTTCAGTTCATCAGTCTGGTTCAGCATTTGGTCACATGACAGGAGTGGGGGAAGGAGAGGGCAGAGAACGTGACCACTTCTTCTGGTGGCACTATAACTTCATGTGAGTTTGAAGTGTGGGTCAAAATACAACCTAAATATTTATGTTTATAAACTAGGAAACATAATAAACCCAAACACAAGTTCTTTGCAGAAATATAAGCTGTAATGGAACTTCTATTAATTTGTTAGGGGTTTAGTCCTTTTAGAGTGCTCTGATGGTAGGATTTTGTCATGAAGCCTTTACCAGATGTTCCATCCGGCTCTTAGAGGCACGTGCTGAAAATGACATTGAAAGAGCCTGGAAAGAGGGCTGCAGGACTACTGACAGGGTTAGCAAACCTACCTTATTATGGGAGGCCTCATATGGCCTAATAAGCACAACCAATGTATTTGTTCAAGAGCAAGCTTAAAGGAGAGTTTTCTGTTGCCCAGCTATACCCACATCAGCAAGGAAGCTCCAGGGCAGAGATCTTCCACCTGGCACATGAAAGCAGCTGAGAAGGGCAGATAAAGAAATCAGGCAGGCTTTTAGTGAATGTGAAGCAATTGTCTAGTGAAGTCATTCACAGGAATATAGGTCCTTGTTCTTCTTGAAAGTTTTTCTGAAAAACCTAGCTGTCTTCTGAGTGGCCTTCCTACCATGATCCAACCACGAGTAGCAGGCAGGACGCTGGTGACGCCAAAGGTATCATCTTTCTTTGTGCTGCAGTGGATTCCTGGTCCTGCCAGACACATGCCAAAGTTGTCAGTTGTTGGAGAGCCACGTGACAGGTCGCAGAGGTTTCAGAAAGCCAGTGAAAGATTTCCAGCAGAGAACAGAACAGCTGTTTTCAGCCTTGTTACACAGGGCTGCAGCGAGGGTGCAGCCGAGTCCACAGAGACCCAGGGCTGGTGTGTTTTGTCTCTCCTTGAAGTTAAGCCACTAGTCTCCCTGTCCCAGCACAGGCCTGTTTCCTAGCTGTGCCTGGCATGGAGGGGAACAGGAGAGTGCATCAACAGCGTGGTGCTCCCGTGGTTGTTTTGGGTGAGAGTGGGCTGTGCTGTCAGGTGTGATGGCAGTGGAAGCTGGCTGGCTGTGCCAATGCTTTCTCCCCCGAGAGCCTGCACAGGAGCTGCCAGGTACTGTCCCTGAAAGGTTTCTAAGGTCATTCTTACAAGGTCTGACTTTCCCCTTGTGTCCCACAGGTTTGGGTCTCTGGACTTGCTTCCCTTCCTAGTGGCAAGTAATGTTGTGATCCTGGCTGAATGTCACATGGCCTCTTTCATGCCTTCGCTGAAGTTATTTTTAAAGGAGCTTCAGTGCTGGAGGCTTCCAGGCAAGTGGGTATAAAGAATTTGCTAGCAAGAGGTGGTCCTCAGAGCTGTTTTGCTGGCAGAGCTGGTCACAGGGTGCTGCCTGTCCTGGGCATGCTTGTAAGCCCCGTTAGCAGCCACATGCTGCAGGAGGTGATGTCTTGATGCCTTTTTTGGGTATCAGCAGAAAGATTCAGGAAAGCCCCCACCTTGCAGGTGCTGCTCTGGATCACCTCTGTGCCTCTGATTTTCAAGATTCTGCCCTTCAGTTGCCCAGTGATGAGTGTGGCCCCAGGGTACTCTTGTCATGCCCTGATTGCAGAAGTTCACATTTCTCCTCTGTGTGTCTCTGGAGGGATTTTCTGGCAAGCGGGTGGACCAGCAGTGATGCTCTTTGCTAATGCTGCTGTGAAAACGGCCCTGCAAAAGGGTCAACAGCAACTCTGGTTCCTCATCCTCTCTCTTTACCTACCCT